GTAATAGATCCTCATAAGGGTTCTAGAAAATTCCTGCAATTTTATTAGAGAATCAATCCCAAATACTGTTTTGTGTTTAATGTAATATTTGTATTTCCAAAAGAAAGATTTATCTTGAAATATGTTCTATTTATTAGTCACATGTATATGTTTAATTGGACCCTAAAATTAAGGCTTTCAAAATTTCAGACTGATTTTCAGTTTTTGGAACTCACACTCATACCAATTCAATATAGCACGTGGCTGAAAACATACAGAGCCAGGCAAAAGCTTCACTGTGCACCGCGGCAGATCTGCAACACACAATCTAGGAATTGGCACCCCCAGGTTTAAGGACTAACTTTGCTCAAACTTGTAAGAATTTGGACAAGGCATTTAACCTAAATTTTCCTCATCTATGAAAAAGAATGACCAGAAATGGTTGTCGCAATGCACAAATTAAAATGTAGAGCTGATACACAAAATGAGAGCCTCTATAAACTCTAATCTGTAACTTCACAAAACCCACAAGGGGCATCGTCTGAGTTTTATAGGTGAAGAAAGCTCCACGGCCTGGCACCCGAGCAGGCAGACAGGCAGTAGTGGTGCCAAGGCCCTGGGTCTGTCGTCTGACTCTCGGACACCACGAGCGGGAGTCTGCAGGCGGCTCCATGTCCAGGGACGTGGACCAGACACTGGGAAAAGGTGCCTAACAGCCCATGTGCAGAGGCTCCCGGCTCACGGTTCAGGACGGTCCCCCCTCCGCCCCATGAGAGCTGACTTCCTAATGCTGCATGAGCAAGTGTGCAAAAGGCAGAGCAGGACTAACCAGTTTGTAACAAGCTTTCAAGCCCCCAGCACAGCAGACACACAGTGGGAGGGCTGTATCTGGAGTAAGTGAAGTAAACCCATTATGTACACTCACTTACCAACCCCAACCAGGCCCAGTAAGGAAAATTCACCCCACGGCACCTGTGAGGACTGCGCCACACACACAACCCACAGCCACCACCCAAGAGCACGGGGCCTTACTGGCTGCCGGTCTCGTCCTTCTTGGAACCTGCACCTCGACTTCTGTGCTCACCATTCTGTCGGGAAAGATTCCAGAACCACTCATTAGTACAGCACAACAAATCAGCGATAGTGACGCCTGCAAGACAAGCGGGGCTCAGTCCTAGCAGTGTCTCTGCTGCGGCGTGTCTCACAATGATGGTTCTCAGCTTTAGTAAGGTGTCGCCCTAAGTAAGGGAGGTGAATAAGGGTGCACTGAGAGTGACTGTCACCTCAGTGACATTACCTGAGCAGGAGAAATTTATACTTCTCGATGTCACATTATTTTCAGAAAATCTGACTAGCTCCTTGTACTGCTTCAAGTTAAACTTTCAAACACATGGAAGATGGCTATGTCACAAAGCCACATACTTAGAGGAGAACACCTAAAGGGCCAGGGTCCCCAGGTGTGTCGGCGTTAGACGATCTGTCGCCATGAGCACCTCACAGAGCTGGGTGAGGCCACCGGCTGGGAGCCCGGGAGCAGGGCGGGCAGGGCGCGGGGGCAGATACCTTGGCCGCCCTCCTCCACTGCTCCTCCCTCCACGGCCTGTCCTTTCTGTCTGCATGGCCCCAGAGCCGCTTGTCCTCAGAAGGAAAGCCCTCCGTAAGCCGTCGGTCTCTCCGCCGCTCCTCCCCGCCCCTGTCAGACAGTGAGTGGCTGCTGTCTTTCGCGCTCTTGTCTCTCCTCTCCCTGGCGTGGCTCTTTTCTCGGCGCTTCCTCTCCTCCTGCCACCTGTGCGGTCTCTCGCCCTCCTCTTGGTACAGCCAGTACTTGAGAGGGCTGTCCCTGCTGTCGCCATACCGCAACTGGAGCGTGACATGGAAACTGAGCATGAGGACTGGGAGCGGCTGCCCCTCACTCCCTGCCCAGGGTGCTGCTGAACTGCCCCAGGACGGCGGGGGCCTCGTCCCAGTCTTCCCAGCGCACACCCTCTCCCACAGGACATGTCTGGGACTTGCCGGCTTCTGTGGGCTCCCCTCCCAACAGTGCATCCCCAGGTCCCTCGGTCTCCTGGGCAGTTTGCACGTCTGCCCCCTCCCCACAGGGAGATCCTTAAAACCAGCACCATCGCTACGTCATCTCTGCATCCCTCAACTGCCTTGGAGCCCAGTGACAACTATGACGTCATCACAAGGTGGGTGAGC